ACACAGGGCAAAACATAAGTCCCCGTTTTCGGACTGCGTCCGAACGGGGACTAACAATGACATCATACAGAAAGTAAAGCATTGGATCCTGTTAGGCCAACAGATGGAATATGTGCAGAGGAACTGAAGACAATGGCATCATACAGAAAGCAAAGCATTGGATCCTGTTAGGCCTACAGATGGAATACGTGTTGAGGAACTGAAGACAATGTCATCATACAGTAAGCAAAGCATTGGATCTTGTTAGACCTACAGATGGAATATGTGTTGAGGAACTGAAGACAATGTCATCATACAGTAAGCAAAGCATTGGATCTTGTTAGACCTACAGATGAAATATGTGCTGAGGAACTGAAGACAATGGCATCATACAGAAAGTAAAGCATTGGATCTTGTTAGACCTACAGATGAAATATGTGCTGAGGAACTGAAGACAATGGCATCATACAGAAAGTAAAGCATTGGATCCTGTTAGGCCTCAGATGGAATACGTGTTGAGGAACTGAAGACAATGGCATCATACAGAAAGCAAAGCATTGGATCCTGTTAGGCCTACAGATGGAATATGTGCAGAGGAACTGAAAACAATGGCATCATACAGAAAGCAAAGCATTGGATTCTGTTAGGCCTACAGATGGAATATATGCAGAGGAACTGAAGACAATGACATCATACAGAAAGTAAAGCATTGGATCCTGTTAGACCTACAGATGGAATATGTGTTGAGGAACTGAAGACAATGTCATCATACAGTAAGCAAAGCATTGGATCTTGTTAGACCTACAGATGAAATATGTGCTGAGGAACTGAAGACAATGGCATCATACAGAAAGTAAAGCATTGGATCCTGTTAGGCCTCAGATGGAATACGTGTTGAGGAACTGAAGACAATGACATCATACAGAAAGCAAAGCATTGGATCCTGTTAGGCCTACAGATGGAATATGTGCAGAGGAACTGAAGACAATGACAACATACAGAAAGCAAAGCATTGGATTCTGTTAGACCTACAGATGGAATATGTGCAGAGGAACTGAAGACAATGGCATCATACAGTAAGCAAAGCATTGGATCCTGTTAGGCCTCAGATGGAATGTACGTGTTGAGGAACTGAAGACAATGGCATCATACAGAAAGTAAAGCATTGGATCCTGTTAGGCCTACAGATGGAATATGTGTTGAGGAACTGAAAACAATGACATCATACAGAAAGTAAAGCATTGGATCCTGTTAGGCCTACAGATGGAATATGTGTTGAGGAACTGAAGACAATGGCATCATACAGAAAGTAAAGCATTGAATCTTGTTAGGCCTACAGATGGAGTATGTGTTGAGGAACTGAAGACAATGGCATCATACAGAAAGCAAAGCATTGGATCCTGTTAGGCCTACAGATGGAATACGTGTTGAGGAACTGAAGACAATGACATCATACAGAAAGTAAAGCATTGGATCCTGTTAGAACTACAGATGGAATATGTGCAGAGGAACTGAAGACAATGACATCATACAGAAAGTAAAGCATTGGATTCTGTTTGACCTACAGATGGAATATGTGCAGAGGAACTGAAGACAGTGACATCATACAGAAAGTAAAGCATTGGATTCTGTTAGACCTACAGATGGAATATGTGCAGAGGAACTGAAGACAATGACATCATACAGAAAGTAAAGCATTGGATCCTGTTAGGCCTACAGATGGAATATGTGCAGAGGAACTGAAGACAATGGCATCATACAGAAAGTAAAGCATTGGATCTTGTTAGGCCTACAGATGGAATACATGTTGAGGAACTGAAGACAATGGCATCATACAGAAAGCAAAGCATTGGATCCTGTTAGGCCTACAGATGGAATATGTGCAGAGGAACTGAAGACAATGACATGATACAGAAAGTAAAGCATTGGATCCTGTTAGGCCTACAGATGGAATATGTGCAGAGGAACTGAAGACAATGACATGATACAGAAAGTAAAGCATTGGATCCTGTTAGGCCTACAGATGGAATATGTGCAGAGGAACTGAAAACAATGGCATCATACAGTAAGCAAAGCATTGGATCCTGTTAGGCCTCAGATGGAATACGTGTTGAGGAACTGAAAACAATGTCATCATACAGAAAGCAAAGCATTGGATCCTGTTAGATCTACAGATGGAATACGTGTTGAGGAACTGAAAACAATGACATCATACAGAAAGTAAAGCATTGGATCCTGTTAGGCCTACAGATGGAATATGTGCAGAGGAACTGAAGACAATGACATGATACAGAAAGTAAAGCATTGGATCCTGTTAGGCCTACAGATGGAATATGTGCAGAGGAACTGAAAACAATGGCATCATACAGTAAGCAAAGCATTGGATCCTGTTAGGCCTCAGATGGAATACGTGTTGAGGAACTGAAGACAATGGAATCATACAGAAAGTAAAGCATTGGATCCTGCTAGGCCTACAGATGGAATATGTGCAGAGGAACTGAAAACAATGACATCATACAGAAAGTAAAGCATTGGATCTTGTTAGGCCTACAGATGGAATACGTGTTGAGGAACTGAAGACAATGGCATCATACAGAAAGTAAAGCATTGAATCTTGTTAAGCCTACAGATGGAATACGTGTTGAGGAACTGAAGACAATGACTGCATACAGAAATCAAAGCAGGATTGAAAGGTTATCAAAGCATCTAGAATTGTCATTGCACATTGTATGACACTAGTCTGAACAGCAGTGTTAGGAGACTCCATACATGCGAATACATACTCATACTTTATCCTCATAAAAAACCATACTATTATACATTTTGTAAATCCAACCACATGGTGTATATAGCCCAGGACTGGATACGAAGGTGCAAATTAGTGGACTTTTTTTTTAAAATCTTATCCGCCACCTTAGAATGTATCGCACAAATCAATCCTCGTGTTGAGTTACTAACACAGAGCAGCAACCTGGCATCAAATACCTTTCACAGACATACAGACATTTTATGTCCATAAAAATTATCTTTAGTTTGAGTTATTAGATAAATTCTAATTGAATCAATTCGCCACTGTTGACATGACTATTCAGATAAATTGTTCATGCTGTACATATTCACAAACTCAGTTCAACTTGCAACACTTTGGAATAGCTACATGCTATTTTAGCAAATTTGGCTCAATGGATGAAATTAACAGAATCAGCGGCAACATTCTCATTGTGAGAATATCATTTATTTTTTTACTTTAAATTAGTTACATCTTGAATTAGCAGCATTAAAGATTAGCAAAGATAAGATGCTAGTCGAAAATCCAAAAATGTTTCACAGTAACATGCTTGTCAAATCAAGAACTATTAACCAATACTACCTAACAACTGATTAGTGTCCCTCTTTTTAATACGATTACTGTAAAATCTGTATTAGAAGCCGCAACCTATATTAAAATGTTACAATGCAACAGAATGGATGCAGTTTCCATTAGAGCATCAACACGAGAGAAATGATGAATTTTTGGTTCTCAATTGTTCAAAAAGAATTGGTGTGACTTCTATTAGGGAATACAGATTTTACGGTAATAGAGATATTCATTTTGCAATGTGTATGGTGTTAATATATTCTATTGATATGGTTTTTACCTGTCCAGGTTGGAAGAGCACATACTGTTGAAGATTTGGGTTCTGTTGCTGCAGCTGCTGTAATTGTTGTAGGTCCTGCACAGATATCTGTTGTAACTGAGCCCCTGATATGGGTATTTGCTGTCCTCCTGCATTTACCTGTACCTATAGGAGGGCACATAACACTCAAGTCAAATACTAAGCACGACATAATTTAGTTCATCTTGTGGTACTAGCGAACACATTTTTCTTCATTGATGACCACAATGACAAACTAAAAACGCACAGATTTTGACATGACTGTAACAGAGTCAAAATAATGTGCGTCATTTTGATGACTCTGATATTGGAAGAATAATGTTGATTCGCCATGGTAACCTAAACTAGAATTTATTATTATTTGACCAGAAATCAATCATCTTATTTCGACTGTCCAAGCTGTATTGTACATTATTGTCAATATTTACTGACAATGCATTCATAATAGTAACATTGAAGGTAAAATATATAGCATGCAAAGAAATTACAGAAAAATCAAACGTAAATAATGTAACAAAAAATAAATCTGAAAGTGAAAGAGACTGTTGAGAAGAAAAAAAACCTGAAAAATAAACCCAAAAGTGAGAGCTAGAAAGGTTAGTCATAGAACCAAAGCAATAAAATAATAGTGTGCAGTAGTACATTAAATATAACATGCCATGACATTTTGAAAATGATATGGAGTCGCAATGCATTAGTCTAATCCCAACACTAAAATAATTGGTAAAGTTGTTCAGATTACACAACATTTATGGTTGTTTTTTGTATGAATAAAATGAAGAGTGTTTTGGTGTAGATTTGAGTTAACAGTGTTCTTGTGAGATTGTTGCCATCTGGGTTTATAAAGCTCAGTTTGTAGTGAGAATATGCAATATTAACAATGCTTTTCGGACAGATACTAGTATTTTGAGTGCAAGGTGTACAAACAGTGCTGTACATACAGTGACTTGTGGATGTGTGACCATCTTCCTACCATTACAGCATTATTAGATGCACTGGCCTAGAGTCAACCAGGTCGGGTTGATTGAGGGGCATACATTCCATTTTCTCACTACATTGGGCCATCCACTAAATATTTTAATAATTTGTCAAAATTCAAGTGAGAACACTGCATTTGAAAACATACATGTTTATCAGTATTGTAAGCTGTTGATAGATATCATGCAGTTAGAGTTTACTTTGATTATATTATATGCATAAAATGTTTTAAGACGTATCTTATTGGTTGCATGTAAGCGAGGCTAAGATTTTAGCCAATCACAATGTTTTTATCAGCCTCCTTTTTCAGTAACCAATCTGATATGCCCAAACTAAGCTTAGGTAAATGTAATAATGATGAAATTATGAAATGCTGAGCACTATTTGTAATGACAACCTTAACCCAAGGAAATTTTATTTTTTTGGAAACTTATTCCTTTGCGCCTCCGTCTGATGTCAGTATTAATTTTGGAAGACTATCTGTACCAATTAGCACAGCATCATTTTTTTTTTTTCAATTTTCACTTGATTTGTTTTGTACTTCGCCTAAATATTGTAATTTGTTGTTAGATAAGCTCTGAAAATTCTCTACAGGAACTGGAATATTTTTACCCACATGCATCATTTAGGAAGTACTTGTAGCTGCTAAAATTTCACAATAAAATTTTCAAATCTTCAAAATCTAGCAGCAATAATTAAAATGTTTACAGTACAGTTTTTTAAATCAGATATTGATAATGACCAAGGGACCATCAGACAGACACCTAGGAAGTAGGTTTCTCAAATACAACAAGAGCAAAACTATGCAGTAAAAACCATGGGAAATAAAAATAAACAAAAATTTGACCTGAGAAACCAAAATAAATAAGTAAGGTGAGGAAATGTTTTGATTAGTATAAAATGATGAAAAGGTGGGGTACATTGAAGAGCATCACATTCTCATGAGATTAACTGTCAAGTTCAGTAGCTTCAGTAATTCCTACTTTTTGTTTTAGTATTCATAAAATCTACCTGATACAGAATTAACATAATCCTCTTTTTAGCTGGACCACCTAATCTCCATAAAACAATATTTTCCATTAGCAATTGAATAAAGGACATTATAGAATACAGGGATACGTAACCATGGCAACAATCAAAGAGTATAGAATGAAATGTCTTAAATTTTTGTATGTCACTGCAAAATCAGCTTTGTGGCCAAATTTTATGTTGATTATGTAACCTTTTCTTACAAATATGTTGCAAATAAATTCACAAGAGACTGGTTATACAGCCATGGTGCAGATTTGTTTTTGTTTGAAAATCAGCAAAACAGAGATATTTCATTATCATTTTGTAGCTAGCCACCTCACTTCCTGTCATTTTAAGCAGGTAAAAAAATTCACTTGACAGGCAAAATTGTTGTCAAATTACCTGCAATTAACAAAATAACCATAAGTAAATAAATTGTAAGTCTGTATTTACAGACTGAGGACGGATATCATTCATTTCAATAGAGTTTCACTTTCTGTTTCCTGACTTTAACCCTGGCAATGAGTACTACAAAAATATAATGTTAAATCTAAACAATTTAGATTCAGTTTTCAAAAACATGACAAAGAAAATTTGTACAAATTTTATGTTCTATGTTTTTGTTTTCAAATTCACTCATCAAAAATCTTATCAACATTTACTTTGATTTTGAACACCCAATATGCTTAACATCAAAAAAATGACAACAGTTGCCAGTTCTCCTATTCTCCAGTATCTCTTTTTCAATAATTCCCAAGATTCATCTTAGCTTCTCATTGACATAATATTATTATAACAATTCAACTAATTTCAATTTTTCTTCCTACAATTCAGTCTCCTTAAAAAAACTGGTCTATCAGATCACTTTGTAAACTTATCAACTGAACTCATGGAATATATAGATATATATCTACTCCCACTTCATGTCAAAGACCAGTGGGAATGATGATGGATATAATAGGCTATTCAACTGAAATTTGGTGGAAACCTGTATCAAGTGAGAAAACACTAGCTCCATGAGGGTGTGACACTCTTAGCTCAATGTACAGACTAATTTGATGAATTGATATAATGTATTTGAATATGTTGATGACCTTGGGTTGTGGTTGCTGTAGCTGTGGTGTAGCTTGGGGAGCTTGTGGTCCAATATTGTGCAGCTGGGTTGAAAGTTGATTGCTATGTTGTTGCCACACTTTATTAAGGTCTGCATACTGCTACAGTGCAAATACATAGGGGAGAAGGAGATAAAACACTACTACATGCAGTAACATTACAGCTTAGGCATTTCTACAACACACAAGGAGCAGTTAACAGATTACTGTATTCTCTCTGACATTAGATGCTCAACACCAAAAAAGGCACAAGAATGTTGACATTTTTACACATCAATCTTCCCGGCATATTTGCTCGATTAGAAGTGCAATAAAGTTAGCAGGAATACAAAAAGGCAGTATGCTATGAATTCTGGGTAATGAATTGATTGAATCAAATGCAACTGTCATTCCTATCGACCTTTGTGAGATGACAATGAATAGGTTTCGGGTGCATTTTTTTAGACCAGATTTAAGAAAGCCAACTGGAAGCCGTTTTTTTTTAAAGCATAATTCAGGGATTGTGTTAAATGCAAATATTTTCTGGACTCACCAAATTTGTGTGAGACCCCAATTTTATTTAAAGTGACAATGATTTTGTTTACATATAACTATAAAATGTAATGTAATGTGGAAACTGAGGGTTGAGGGATCACAATAGTCTTAACTGTGATAGGGATACAAAGAATGAATTTGTAATATGTCTATTAATATATACAAACCCTGAGCACGCAATATGCTCAGTTTTACACCAAATTTTGTTGGAAACACAATCATTAAGTCTAAAATATTCCCTACTGGTTATCGCAGATGACAAGACTTTACAGGTGCACATTTTCAATTATCGGGAGCACATTAACTTATGAATCTGTAGGCAACTGATACTCCGAGATGACTATTGATTTCAATCGAACATTTTTCACTTGCATGTTCCTCTTATAGAAATGCACTTGTAATAGAGCAAATATCCTACAAAATGCAGTGACTATTTTAGATATAAGCAATTTATTTATGAAGTGTTATATGGGAAAGAAACAACTTGAGCATATATTAAGCAAATATTAAATAAATAAAATCATCTACCATTAATTATTCATGAGGATTAACGCTTTGAGTGCCAGATATTTTTCTCGCCTAAAATTCAGTGCAAATATTTGTCACATTTTGTAAATAGTCATAAATTTCATTCTAATTTTGGACTATACTGATAGTTTCAGATATTGGTTTAGTTTTTGATCGAAAGGTTTGCCAATTATTATCAACATTTTATGGGGGATGGGTGGCAGACTATACAAAACTAAATTTTGTAGTAGCTGTCAAAAGTTGACAAAGGCACTCAAAGGATTAAGTATTTGTTAGTAGTTTCCATTCTTTTTTTGCATTCTCACATAATTTCATAATAGGTGATTTTCCGTTCAACTGCGAGATCTCACGAGATGCATGAAAGACGCACGTCGAACGTCTGCCGTAAAAACCGAACGATTTGATTTTGAACTTTAATTTCTTTATTTCGTAGCTCACATCGACCGGCCGATCTTCGACAGAGGAATATTGCTTTCGAATACCCTCACTTAATTGAAATTGTCTATCATCAAATGTATACAGCACATTACCAAGCATGGAAATGCCACCCAAAATATTTTCGCGTTTATTGAATCCCAAGCGATGTTTGACACCACTACAACGCTATGACCTTTGTTTGTCCTGTTTTTACATTTGATTTCACGCATGACGTGTGATTCTCACAGTGAACGGAAAATGGTCTATTACTGTTACCCCCAGTTTCAGACACCAAAGAGCAACATTGTCAGCCAAGTTGCTGACAGGTTTGCAATACATGTCTCAAGATCGTTACATTATTAGAACTGGTTAGACCAAACAATTTTCTCAAAAGTACAGCCTTCCGTTAAAAGCACATTACATAGCAGTGACTGTGCAGACATCCGAGACAAGATCAGTACAAACATTTTGTTCAATTTGTCATACAATAGCAATTTATACAATTGTACCAAATAAATTGAAAGGTAATTACATCTTCCATTTACATTCAACATGTCTGAGTCTCTCACAATTAATTAGATGTCTCCTGTTATTTCAATCGTGTAACGATCTTGGGAAGTACAGAGCAAACCTGTCGGTAACTTAGCTGGCAATTTTACTTTCTTGGTGCTCAAGACAATATGGCGACGACAGTAAAAGTGCAATTTGTTTTTCATGCTGTTTAGTACTTGTACTAAAATCACTTTTGTGTTACTTAATGAATACAAATAGGGTATGTTAAAATAATAGGCATTTGAAAACAAACTTAGAAAGGAATTCACTCTCCAGTTATTCTGTCTATGCACTATATACCATGTTCGCTCTATTGCTTCCCATAGTGAATTGAATAGAAGGTGTCTAATATGACGCAGCACTGACACAAAAAAGATTCGCTGTGATGTTACTCGTTTTGGGGGTTCCATTTTTACTCAGAATCCTCCCAAAATCAATTTGGTTAGTATGCACAGTGGTTAACACATGGAGGTATATAAGAAATGCTAGAGTATTTCAATGTGTTATACAGACCTGCACTGCTATAAATCGTCAAATGATCGCAGCTAAAGACATTTTGTTTTTTATAAATTTTATTTTCACTATTTTCTAAGGTAAAAGAGTATTTTCACTGAATAAATTCCAAGTGAAAATAAAGTATACGCAATAAAGGACTGACAGTAATGACAATAAATGGTCAAATTGTGTGAAAATACTATGTTGCATGGCACCCATAAACCAATATTGTGGTACTTTTAAAGTTGCATTCTCACTTTGCAAATCTGTGAGGTACTGTGGAATACTTTATTTTCGCTGAAAAGGCTTTTTGGGCGTTTTGCTTGGAATTTATTTTCACTGATTTTTGATGAGATTAATGTAAAATATAGGAAAAAATGTATATTCACCGGATTTTATTTTCACGGAATCATCCCTTCAGCGAAAATAAATTCCAAGCGAAAATAAAGTATTCTACAGTACCATAATCATATATATACCATGAAATGTTGAAATTGTTTATGGGTAATGAAGAAATTAACTGCAGAATATTAATTTAATTGCATCTCTCAAATCATAATTTGAAAAAAAAATACAGTTGTTGAAATTAAGGACTTGTCCACCTGTCCTAGACAAGCAGATTTCAATTGGGACAGGTAAATGTACAAACTGCCTGTCCACCTGTCCCAGACAGGCAGATTTTAGCTGGGACAGGTAAATGTACAAACTGCCTGTCCCTGTTGTATTAAGGACTTGTCCACCTGTCACAGACAGGTACATTTTAGCTGGGACAGGTAAATGTACAAACTGCCTGTCCCTGTTGTATTAAGGACTTGTCCACCTGTCACAGATAGGTACATTTTAGCTGGGACAGGTAAATGTACAAACCGCTTGTCTTTGTTGACTGATGAATATAGAATTTTTATTGTCTGTCAATGATGCTTTCTAATATGATAATGTCAAGAAAATTGCTTTCAGAGTTTTCAAGAGTTATAAATTTATATCTCCCTTGAGGCAGGTACATCAACAACTGGAGGGCATTTATTCTTCAATGGACAGGCAACTTTAATTTTTAAATTACAACCACTGCAATAGTAGGCTTTCTTTTACCTAGTAAGTATATCTGTCTAGGAGACGAGAGCCTCCACTAGCAAGAAAGTGAGACCAGAACATCAAAAACAGATACAATGGCATAACATCTCCATGTTCAGCAAATACATTTTACATATTTGCAAAGTGGGAATACAACTTTAACATTACAAATAATTACTTATCAATTTAATAAGTATAAAATCTTCTTTCACTCGGAGCAGGAGAGAGATTGACAGCAGATCTATATGCCATCCCCCCAACAACTCTGTACTGAAATAAAATTACCATAACAATACAAAGAATATATATAATTTGCATATTGCATTGTTATGTAAATGTGCCAACTACTCTGAGAACACTAACATACAATTGAAATCAGAGATGTGAAGTAATGCAGTAAGATCACATGTTATGAGATTGTTTGTAATCATGAACTAACCTGTTGTTGAGAAAGAAAGACTTGTTGCGGAAACTGCCCGCCTGCTATCGACAACTGAATTGGTTGTTGCTGCTGTACTTCTTGTTGATTTCCATCAGCCTGACTAACTGGCACGTGAACTTGAATCTGACCTTGCCCTAGCTGTGCCTACAAACAAAGATCAGTGATTTGCAGAAAGAGATGTTACAGTGCTCAAATACTCATTTTCTTCAAGAAAACACCTCACAAAAACTATATACCTTAATAGTGTAAAAGTAAAAATTTCTCTGCCATCTTATGACATGGATGGAGTGTCAGTGACTTGAGAAATTATGCCATCACATGAAATCGCTGAAATTCATATCAGGGAAAATTAAATGGTTTATTGTTAAAAAGCTATCATAATGACCCCCCCCCCCCCCCAAAAGAAAAAACATGGTATTGCTTGGTGAAACTCATCGAGCTTCATTACGAGATCTTGCCTAATGCGTGAAAGACGCAGCTCAAACATTTTGATTTTGAACACAAATTTATTTTAATAGTTATGCTGAAATACCAAACAGAGGGAAATATGGTATTAAGAAACACTTCACCAAAGTTGATCATCATCAAATATATATAACATTATCAAGCCTGGAAATACTCAATAAATATTACGAGTTTGATTAATCCAACACCAAGTGTTGATATCACTATGACGATACAACCTTTATTTGTCCCGTTTTTACATCTATGCGTTTCTAATTGAGCAAATACGCTAGGGCAATTTAAAAAATATAAGGTTAACCTCAGGAAATATCACAGACAGAACCACAGTGACACATTGCTATGGGTCTTTTGATATAACTGTAGAAATGTCTACACTATTTTTCTACCAATACTATAATACATCAAGTACAACTTTCAGAAGGGTTTGTCTTACTTGTAATTGTTGCTGTTGGGCCACTGATAATTCCTCATCTTTTGCAGTCAAAGTCAATGTAGGGGTTGTGGTAATTTGAGAAGTCGCACTGGTTGGCAAAGCCTGTATTAATACTTGTTGTGGAGTTGAATGTGCTGTTAACGCAATGGGAGTCACTGATTGTTGTGACAATTCTTGTTGTTGCTGTTGTACAGTCTGCTGCTGTTGTTGTAGTTCTTGATGTGTTGTATCAGTGTTCTCTGTAGCCTCTGTTGTATGTTGTCCTTTGGTGGTGAAATCAAGCCCATTTACATTGGAGTGTTGCATTGCCTGGCCTAAAGGACAAGATAGGATGAGATATTAATTAAACAATCTTTCAAAATAAACAAGCTCCAAATAGTTAATTGATGTATTCAGATAGTGTCAGATACTCAATAAGACACACAGTATGCAGACAGAAAATTTAGAACCAAGTTAACAAAATACTATTATCAGTGACTATTATGATACGAAATAAACAGAAAATTAATTAAATGCCACTAACATCTATATAAAAATAAGTATGTACATAGTTTCTTTTACATTAGCTAAACTGCCACAAATTTGTTTATTAAAATACAAAGATTGATGCCAAACAATTATCATTCCTGCAACTATGCACCAAGTTTTATTCCATCAAAAAAATCTACCATGAATATAGTTATTTTTGTGTTAATATTGTAGTTAAGTTATTATGCAAATCAACTAATTAATATGCACAGATTTGTATCAAAATCTAATTACGAGTTCATCAAAAAGTATGTACTAAATTGCATCTAAAATGGGTAGAAAGAAAAAGAGGACCCACCATATTTTGAACATCAACGACCAAGGAAAAATTGAGCAAATTTGGCTTGGATTGTTAAATTTAACTTTATTTCATCATAAGCAAATGTGTTTGATCATATGCAAACGCTTGAAGTTTTTTTTTACAAGCGAATTGACTGTTCTTTGGACTGATAGGTCAAGTTAATTATTAACCAATCAGAATGCTGGATTTGTACAAACATATTCAAATTACCACAGCTCGTTTTCAATATGTTAATTTGGGTTCAGTGACCTAGCTGAATAGCGAAGGTAAAACGAAAAATATATACAGATGTTGCAGTATGATCTTTTGTGATTGATTTTGGTGGGAAAACGGGACAATTTGTTTTTTAATTAAGAAATTAGTAGCATTCAAAATATAAAGTGAGCATTGAAGAACGATTTAACACTTTTCAGTGATAACAGCTCATTGTCAAAACAAAGTTTACCCATTCACGTTAGTTATAATAAATGAGTACTCTTGAATAGATGTCATGTGACTAAGAAAACCCTAAATTAGACTAATTTAGGCGACAGAAAAATTTAAATGTTTGAAAAATGATGCTAAATTCAGGGTATCAATTGTTACACAGTATACCTAATTAGCATATCAATAAATTTAAGCTTGGCATTCAGTGCACCAGCATGGTAAAATTCCCATGCCTCAAAGGGGTAGGAGGAAACTAAACAATACAGTTTGGTACAGTACAGCAGAGTACAACAGGAATTACTTGACCCAGGCACTCAACAAGAAACTTGTGTTTAATTTTGTAAATAACATTTATTTATTTATATATACTGTACCATTTAATGAGCGGGCATCTTCTATTTTTAGAGTTGTACTGAAGGAATTCATTCTAACCGTCTCGGTTGTTAGATTTACACCTTAATAGGAGGGTAAAAAAAAAATGTATTTGTCATAATTATAATAGGTAAAATGAAGTTTGTATTTTTACCACAATTCTACACATAGTAATATTTTATGCATATTTTATCTCAAAATGATAACATATATAAACATGCACTTCCCAAAGAAAACAAAAATGGACATACATGTACAAAAAAAGTAAACAATACAAGAGTGAAAACACAAATAAAACAAAATAAGATTGTCTGTTGTGTGTTACAGTTCTCTGTGAACTAGCTAGCCTCTGCCAGATCACAGAGTGTTGACAGCCAAACTGCCAAAACAATAATAAAAGCACTTTGGGCTTTCGGCACCATCGGTGTCATTGTTATAACATTCCACCTTGTCTAAGGTGTGAAAAAAATGTACCTTGTAAAAAAAGAACCTGTACCACCACATTGACACCTACAGAAATTGACAGAAACCAAACTGTCAACTTAATACTGTAAAACCATTTATTTTCACTATTTTGATATTCACTAGATGAATTTACCAGTGAAACTATGAGTTCTATTGTTATTTTACATGGTAATATGGATTTAATTGAGCGGAATTTACTTATTGGCAAGAATAGCAAAATTAATGCATTAACAGTACACAAGAAGCACAACAGATAACAATAATTACAAAAAGAATACCCTATGTTAGACTAATATAATATCAAGAACATCAAAACATGACATCTTCAAATGATTCAACTAATGAGCAATTTTTTTATAATCAAGGTTTAATTATGATTCTGATGAACTAAGATGTTTTATATTTTATAAAACTTGTTTGACCTTGAACCAAAAATGAAATGTCATATTTTCTTCACGATGAAAATAAAGCATTTTCTCTTCAATTCCAGGCAAGAAGAAAGGATGTCATGTAAGATGGTACTGTACGTTTAAAGGGACATCTCCATTTAAGCCTAATCTCACAACAAATTTACTTTCTGGATTAAAATTACAATGGATAACAAAAGATAGATCAACATTCCACACAACATAACCAATAGTGTCCCACGATTCCTTGGTGCAATCCCTGGGATTGGCAAGTTACCCTTTAAGTATCATTATATATACAATAACATTCATAAATAGGGCACATGACAAGTTGGCCCAAAAGATAATACATTTCATGCATTTTATTTTTAAATGTCTTGAATTAAAATGTAGAGTTATTAAGTACTAAATTCAGAAAATAAAATTATCCAAAATGATCTAAAAGTACAAGCTACATGCTCTATTAATCATCAGAAGTAATACACAAGCATACTGTGAATTGTTTTCTCTTGGCTAAACATTTTCACATGTTCAACAGTTTAAGGGCAATCCCAGGTTTTGTGAAAATCACTGCAACTTGAATTTTGAAGACCCCAAGAGAAATGTTAAGACTATTACAATATTTCCTGCTTATCACTGATTTTGTACAGAGTTTTTCTACTGAGCTGCATTGCTAACGAGTTTTGAAGACAAAGCATTGATTCTTACTTGTGTAAAAAACTTTATTTTAGGTGGAATTAATTTTTGATGAAAATAAAGTACTTCATAGTATTCTTCAGAGAATGTACTGGAAAACTGATTGCAATCACGGTCAACTCAACTATTGAAATAATTTACGTTACAATACACTACAGTAGACAATCGGACATACATTTCTATATCAGAACTCTCTCCCACAGGGAATACCCCTAGAGCTACAATGCTATGAAAACCAGAACACAATTTTACTTAGCATGAATGTTGTAAGACTGGCAGCAATTCATTACACCCTTAGTACTGTCTATTGTGTACTTAGTGTTCATGTTTGCATGATAAGTATGCAGACAAATTCCACAGCTTAAAAACTTCACAGAAAGTAGACAGCTAGAAAATACTGATGTTATGATCGTGTTCAGAAAGGATTAAATGGGTACATAGGATTGGGTTTTCAGTCACCAGATGTCTGTTACAGATGTATGGCATAGCAAAGGTAACTTGTGTGTAATATGCATGTACTCCAAGGTAAATCAAATGAAATGTATTATTGTTTTTAACTTTATCAACATTTTTAAGCTTAGCCTGATCACTCTCGAAACTCAATCCATCAAAAGAGATAAAACCTGTATGAATACAGTAATAAAGATATAACAACTATTACTCAATAATCCCAGGAGTTTTATTCCAGAATTATGAATGACTAATAAGTCACTGACTATATTAATCTTCCAGGGTCTGAGAGTAGTGGTAGATCAACTGCATGAATAAAAACATAGAATATGTTATTCCAAATTTCAAATACAGTAGGTACATTATACAAAAAGAAACAAAACCCACAAATTTTACAACCATACAAAATTAATAACCACAACTCTAGTATAACCATCGAACTCTGCCTACCAGGAACATTTTTTTCACCAACACGAAAATATACTAAGCAGTATTTCTTAACAAATATAAGCATTACATCAAAATAACCCACCTACACATAGGAACACCTGGGTACAATATGATGTTACTAGCCAGAAATACCAAGCCAAGATGCTGATAAGAATGAATCGCAGATAGCGATCAAAATGATTTTTGATAGTGAAAACTTGTTTTCACATTTCTTTCATTAATTTTTAGTAATAAATGCAATTAATCAACAACAAAATGTACAGCACAATTTATTTCATAAAATTGACAATAATAATAATGAATCACCACTTTACAATTCAGAAGCAAAGTTATCAGGAACTTTTGATCAATGAGACTAGCTTGAAACTTGATCAACTGTGCACCCACTCCCATTCTCCACAACACTTAAAAAAATGTTTAATTCTCTCTCTTTAAGCCTACTCTAAAAGAGAACTCAAAGAAAACTGTGAGAAATTAGATTAAATTTCACAATAGTTATTTAGGCAGTATGAGAGGCGGCCCCATTTGGAAGCTTTACAATCATATGCAAATGAGACGACTTTTATTCAAAGAGGCTATTGAAATGCAAGGACTATGTATTATGTAAATTAGCACACAACAATAGAACCACCCTTTTAAAATTCACAGGTATGCATATTTTGCTATGGACTGAGAGGTCCGTTTGAGGTCTTGTCAACAGTGCTACAAACACACAGAAATCAGACAACGCATCCTATTTAGACCAAGTTGACAGGCAGCTTTTAAAGTGGATGCCAAACAACACTACCTTGAATGAGTGTTATCGAAACATCGTTTTTTTTTTCTTTGCACACCTGTATACACAAAAAGTGAAGTTCAACATGCATAATAATTCGTCACAAAGTTCAGCTTCCTAAGTTTATTTAAACTAGCATGGAAGCATTATATTTTTATAATAAAATCTACCCATAATTGAAAGTTGATTTCATTCAAAAAAAAAAGACCCAAATAATTTTTTCCTATGCAAATTAACTCCATTGATCTCTCCATTTTTATTTAATTTACTTTCTACTACAAACTAAAGGAACAGCACTTAAGAAAAATAAACTTGCAAACTAAAAACTAAACATGATCATTCACCTTTGAGTACAGGTCATTAGTATGAAATAAAATAAAAAAAAAAATTACTCCCAAACCGGAAACTTTTCAGCCAGTTATAGGAAGCAACATTTTTGTATGTCGTATGTTCTATTTCTAATAACTTAATTTTTTACAATATGCGAGTAATCAATCTAAGCTGCAGAATTTAAAATGCATTCCACTATGACAGTACCCAAAATTAGAAGTAGCCCCAGGCACAGAGACTACTAATACTTGTCCTGGATTTACTATTTTCAAACATTAGTAGCCCATTTTGGAC